AGACTTTTGCATAAAGCATAACGCATAAGCATAAGGAAATTGATTGGTCTATATATAAGCATAAGCAAATGCATAAGGAAACGGACCAATCAATTTCCTTATGCTTATGCGTTATGCTTTATGTAAAAGTCTGTGCTCCGGCCTTATATCTGTACGTGCGTATGCACATGTGATACCCGGCGTGGTGATACAAATTGATAATATTGTAAAAATGCTTGAAAGATGCCGAGCAGTTGTTGAGCAGTTGTTGAGCAATTGCTGAGCAGTTGTTGAGCAGTTGTTGAGCAGTTGTTGAGCGGCCATTTTGTTGTAGGGTGTCATGGCCGAAACCGGAAATCTTGCCAGCCTCAGTTTTTCCATACGTCAAAGCCTAAAGTTAGCGATCTAGTACTAGTATAGACATCTGTGGGTACGAGTAACAATAATAGATAAAATTAGTCAAAATGCCGTTTATGATAGGCAAAGAACCCGTGCGGCGAACATTGAAATATTTAATGTCCGGTCCATTGGTCTTAAAGGATAAAATACAGATATTCTCCATTAATTATAACACGCATGGTAATCATCATAAAGGCACGAGGTAAAAATTTAGGTTAGGTTAGGTTAGATTATATATAAAATATTGAACACATTACATTACTGTGTTTTAATAACATTTTCTAATTTTTCTACAGAGATTTCATATTTTGGCATTTATCACAGATACAATACAAAAATCCAACAGTACAAGTAGTTACTTTTAAAATAGAACACCATCTCCGTTTATGAAATTTTATTATGGTAATTGAGAATTGAGTATTTAATCATATTAAATAAAATTAATGTATGATTAGATAAATGATAGTTATATAAATTTGAGATATGCTATACAATGAGAAAAAATATTTTTACAGAAGATGGAAAGACAATATTAATCGATATAGATAGCAAATCTAAAGACGACATACTTCAGCATCTTATAAAAGTAGTAGGAAAACCAAAAGAAGTATTAGTCAAAGAAGCTACTGCTAAAGAAAAGAAGGACAATCCAGCAAACTTTGGAATGGGTTGTACAAGGAGCTGCTTATGTCACATCCCAGGACAAGTACCATGTCCAGGCATAGTGCCTTTGCCGGATCACATGCGTGCAAAAATCATACGTGAAAGACGAAATAAAGAATAGGCATACTTAGTATTAAGAATTTTTGTATATATTAGAATCCCAATTGTGTTATGTGTACATGTGTTTGTCTGTCAAATATGAATAGTGGAAGTAACTTGGATACTTCAGGTTTTATTATAAAACATGTCATATGTGTTTATTATAAAAAAAGATCCTTATTTTATGAAAATATATATTAGTATACGTATATTAAGCACTATATTACCGTTGACTTAATATATTGTGGTTCTAATATGTTTCATGTATCTGCTCATTTGTAGGAATCAATATTTTTACCTATTTGCATTTAAAAAATTATATATTATCATTTTTATTGCTTATGAACATGTATGAGCATTACAACGCAAAATATATTTTTTAATAGTAGAATGGAATGTTTAATAGATACAATAAATAAAAAATAAAGATTATTTATAAATAATATAAATATGTCGACTGTATCGTTTAGGTCCTGCGCACAATAGAGAAAATATTAGGAATAGGAATAAATATTAAATATTAGGAAAAAGAATTAACAATTATTTTATTTCAAACAAAGGAATGAAATGTGTATTAGTTATTCCTAATTCTTAATTTTTAATTCATGATACATTAATATCCCATTTTCTTGTTCTGAAATGAAATAATTCCAATTTTCTATTCTTAATATTTAATATTTGTTCCTATTCCTAAGTGCGCCGCTTTCTTCTACAAGTCGAACGCCGAGCACACATCATTCGCTTCGAATACACACGGACGTGTGACATAGCGATTCTCGGTTGGTTGGTAGAAGCCAGAGTATGCAGTTCTGGTATCGCTGATATGCACGTCTGACGACACTGCTGGCATGTCTGGCTCAATGGTCGAATTGTATACATAACCCTTTTGCTCCTGTCAAAATCTGACATTTAGTGGAAAATAATTGTTAAAATTGTTTGAAAGAGAAAATGGGCGACTTTTTGGCAACTAATAATGTTTGCGGACAAAATGTATTACGACTGGTATCTCGTGGAAATGCTATTATAGCTGAATTAATGCGATTGAAAGATTATGTACCACCGGTCTTTAGGTCAGTTTGTTAGAAATATAATTAATTTAATGATAAATTAATAAATTAAAATATAATTGTTAATATTTAGCGTAGCAAATATATCTCTTATCAAATCCAATTATGTTATATTATTTAATTGTCATTAGCTTGGATACAAAACAATTAATACAGAAATATGGGTCCATTATAATCGACTTTGCATATTTCAAAGCAGCGAGTATTTATGAGCAAAAGATAGAAAATGATGAGGTAAATATTCTTTCTACAATTATTGTAAGTTGTATTATCAAAAATAAAAAGAATATATATAAATGTATTTTCTCCTTTTTTCTAGACGCTTCAAGAAACTGATGAGGAGCTTCGAAATAATTTCTCAGATATACTTACAAGGTTTTATTTAGCTTTTGAGAGTATACACAAGTATGTTACAGATCTGAATTTTTACATCGATGAATTGGGAGATGGAGTTTATATACATCAATCAGTCGATTCTATTATGTTTAATGAAGAAGGAAAACAATTAATGGTATATTTCTTTTTTTTTATAAGAAAAGCTAGCAATTTTTAAGACATTTATAAAGGGAACAATTGTATTTCTTTCTAGTGTGAAGCTGTATACTTATATGGTGTAATGTTATTGCTGGTTGATTATCATTTTGAAGGGCGAATACGTGAAAGATTACTCGTGTCTTATTATCGGTACAATGCGCAGCGATCTTCCTCGACCAGAGTAGATGATGTTTGTATGCTGCTTCGTTCAACAGGATATATGAGGACATTGTCTAAAAGACCGGCTAATTATCCTGAAGAATATTTCAAGTTTGTAACAATTTAAATATGAAGGATATATAAGGAGAGTCTGCACACATATATATATATATATGTGTATACATACATATATATATATATATTTTTTTTTTAGGAGAGTACCTTTGCGAGATTTTTTAATAGATCTTGTTATTGGTCGATTGCGTTCTGATGAAATTTATAATCAGACTCTTGCTTTTCCACATCCGGAACACCGTAGTACTGCTGTAGCCACACAAGCATCAATGTTGGTCATAATTTTATCGTTTAAACCAACTATACTGCATACACAAACTGCTATTATGAGAGAAATAGTGGATAGATTCTTTCCTGACAACTGGGTAATTAGTATTTATATGGGAACAGTGATCAATCTATGTGATTGGTGGTCTCCATATAAAGCTGCACGAACTGCATTAAATAATACTCTTGAAAATTCAAATATTAAAGGAATTGCACAAAAGTATGGAGTAAAAATGGATGTAAGTAAGAGTTTAATAGGTCTAAATTTTTTGATACATTGAAATAAATAAATATATAAATATTTTATGTGCATTTCAAAATAGTTTGCGAAAATAAAAGGACTTTTATAATTATAATTAATAATATTGTAGTTCTTTGGCAGAATAGAAATTGAAATAATTTTTCAGAAATTAATACAAGAGACTGAGGAAGTACAATTGGCAGGCCAACTAGATGAAAATGCCACAGGTTCCTTGGTTAAATTAGTGAAGGAGTGTAATGTTACGTTGCATTGGATTCTGCTGCATACCGCTACGCCCACTATTATATTAGAGGACTCTAAACGTTCACGTACGCTGCGTCAATCAGTCGTGACTGAAAGCAAATATACTACAGCAAATTGTCTTCGCTTATTACTAAGCACTGCTCAAATTGAACAAGATGTTAAACAGATGTATAAAGATGTATGTTTGAAATTAGTTGTTATTACGATAGCTTATTTTAATCTATGTTTACAAGATTCAAGAAATTGCATAACTGTAATTTGTTTATATTATCAGTTATTACTCGGAAAAGAGACCAAGTGGCTGAAAGATAAAGAAATATGCGTCGAACGTATAACTGACCTTGCACAAATTTTTGGAGGCACCAAATCTCTAGACGGTATCGATAAAAATCAAAATCTTTATACGTGGTTCATGGAAATCAGCAAACATATTGATTCATTAAAACAAGAAGATGGAAGAAAAATCGTGCAGTTATTGCAAGCACTGGAACAAGTTCAGGGTAAGGAAACAAGAAATGAAAGACAAAATCTGTTACAAATGTTAACAAAAACAAATATTTGTAATCTGTCATACTTTCAGAATTTCATCAATTAGAAAATAATCTACACATTTCGCAATATCTGGCTGACACGCGTGAGACTTTGCACAATATGTTGCGTACAGGCAGCATAACTGAAGATATCATGATAAGCTTGAATATCGTGACAGATTGTTGCTATGCATGGAATATTATGGAATCCTTTATTGATGTGATGCAAGAGAGTATAAAGGAAAATCCACCAACTGTCATCAAATTAAAAGCTCTTTTCCTTAAAGTAAATATATTCGTACAACTAAAAATTATATATATATATATATATAAGAAATACCCTTATAATACTATACTAATTTATATATATATAAGAAATACCCACAAAAATTATATTAAATACCTGTACAAATTTATTTTATTTCAAGATGGCATCAGCATTGGAAACTCCGTTGTTGAGGGTAAACCAAGCACGAAGCGCAGATTTATCCTCGGTGTCCCAATATTATAGTAGAGAACTGGAAGGATACGCTAGACGTGTTTTGCAAATTATACCTGAAACTGTGTTTGGTTTATTAGCGCAGATAGTGTATCTTGAAACAAACGCATTTAAAGAAATTCCGACTAAGTTGCCCAAAGATAAGCTCAAGGATTATGCACAATTGTCTGAAAGATTGGAGGTACACTTTGATTCTTGTACAATGTAATTCTTGTATTATAATAATTAAAAAATAACTCTCTTGATATTTTTATAGATGGCTAAATTAACATATTCCGTGTCAGTTTTTACAAAGGGCGTTTTGTCACTGAGAAGCGTTTCTCTGGGAGTTTTAAGAGTTGATTCACATCGACTGTTGGAGGACGGTATACGGCAGGAACTTGTCAAGAAAGTCACTTCAGCTTTACACAAAGGCCTCAACTTTGATCAGAAATCCAAGGTAGATTTTGAAAGCAAGATTTTGCGTTTCAAATTTATATATTTAACAATTCTTGTAATATTTTACTAGACGTCTCTTCTACAAAAACTGTACAATTTATCTTCGATTATGGACGGATACAGGAAGTCTTTCCAATATATTCAGGATTACATTAACATAAACAGTTTGAAAATATGGCACGAAGAAGTAAGAGAAAATTACGATATAAAAATTCTACAAAAAGTTATCATATGTATTTACACTATTGTGAACCTTCAGATTACATATATTATGAATAATGCAGTCGAGGAAGAGCGTAGAGGCTCGTCCTGGGTGCCAGGAAAGTCATGGAGGCAATTCCAAGAAGATAAGCATACATTTTCAACAGACAGTAACTCTTTAACTTTCATGGGCAGACTCGCCAGAGAACTCATTCGCATTACTGACCCACGGTATATTCTGCTGTTTGCTTCAATTTTTACAAGAATAAAGTTGTAATCTAATCCATATATCTTTTCAGGACTACTGTGTATATAGAGCACTCTCTAGCATGGTACGACATTAGAACACAAAATGAAGTTCTAAATTACAAAGTCTTCTCCGTGATACTAGAAACGATAGGCACGCCGGGATTATCCGGACTGGATAAGCTTGTCTCATTTTTCATCGTCATGGAACTGGAAGCTTTCATCCATTCTATAGAAAAAAGTATACGGAACAAGACATGGGCGTCGATGTTGGATGATTGTGAAGATACTTTAAGTTCTCTCGACAGTGCTAAAAGTGAGAAAATTCAAGATGTGCATTAGAAAAATATGTAATAGAGATAAGAATAAATTGATATTCTGGTTGTATACTTTAGGTAACATTACGAAGCTTCATAATTCTATAACCGGTAGCAGCAGTAAATTATGGTCGCCGGTGCTCGAGTGGACGTTGAAAATAGGTCACTATCAATTACTCAGGAAAAAAATAGCGTACGAGTTGAATACTGCCTGTAAATTTGAGGCGAAACATATGGAAGCGGCGCTTCGGACGTTAAATACGTATGTAGAAATTGATTTTTTTTTGTTTTTTTTATTTTATTTTTTTTTTATTTTTCTCTTCGTTTTGCAGAGCTATTTTATGCGAGATAGCGAACAAAGATAACAATAACGAGACTGAATCAGAAAAAAGCGAATTGCTTCACGAACTCAGTGTACGATTGGACTGGGCTGGCATCAGCGATCCGCATAATAAAGTTTATATCAAGTCGCCGAAGATAGATAATATAGCTCTCATTATTTTCTTATTCACGGCGTCGCAGTTGAATAAATTATTTTACTGTAAAAATACAGGTACGTATTTTTGCTTCATACACGTATGTATAATATAGCACAAACATCAGGCTATTTTATCTTTGTTCTTTATTGTAGCAAGTCTTTTAAGCAAGAGACATCAAGATCCCGTCGACGCTGTGGTATTCGCAATCGGCATACAAACGATTCTTCGTCAATTCCACGTTTCTGTGATGAATCGTTACGTAAAATACCTTTGTATGTACATCTTGTCATTTATTATCGTGGAAAGGTGAGAATAATTTCATAGTTTTTGACGAATAAAATATTGCAATGTCATTTAGTGCGTATTATTCAAGAGAACGCTTTATTTTTAGCACAAAAGCAGGGAGCGATGCAGAAATCGAAGGTGTCACCAGTCTTCACTTTTTGGAACTTTTTGTGAAATATTCTGGCATTCCACGTTCTCTCATTCTTAAAGAAATACCTGTTGTTATTCTCGATCATTTTCTAGTTAAAGTAGCAAAATAATGTTACATCTGAAAAAGATGATATAATATAATATATGTATATGATTTTACACTATTATATATTCCTATATTATAAAGTTTTATATATTATGTAAATAAATAAGACAGATAAAAAGATTACGTAAAATTATTTTATTATTATTTCTACTTTAATATTTCCACTAACTGTAATAATTTAAGAAAAAACCGAATTTACTGAAAAGAAATTGATAAAATTAGAATTTTATTTGCTTAATTTAATTATGCTTTCACTGTTTTAATTTATCATTTAACGCACACATCTAAGGCGAACGAGGCTCACAACATAAATTAGATAAAAAGCGTGGGTGTGGCATCGTCATCACGAAAAGTGTCCTTAGGGGAAGCATCGCCGAGTACTGCAGAGAAATTTCGCATCGGCGGCTAGACACTGTGCGTGACAGCGGCGGCGACGGCGGCGACGGCGGCGGTTTAGGCGCCTCTTCGCATCACCGTCGCGTCGATACGCTTTTAAATGCGCTCTTGCGAAAGATTATCTGCATTTAATTGCGGCTATTTCATTAACAGAAATTTCAATGCGATAATAAAATATCGATTGGCCAAACGCATTTGAGAAATTAACAGGAAATAAGATTGCTGGTTTCGTCGGCGTCGACGGCGGCTACGACGGCGTCAACGCCGGCGGCCGCAACGCCGACGTCGGCGGCTTCGTACAAAACGATCCGGAATAGTTTCGCAGCCCAGTTCTCGGCTTCCGTACGTGCGGATCGAGTCGACATCCTTCTAGAATTTCCGATATCTGGGCTGGGCGTATACAAGCGCGTTAAAATTTATTTCGATCGCCACACCCATCTGAAAGAATATACGTTAAAATTAAAAATACCGGTTTAAATAATATTTGTTACGTGAAACACGAATAATTGGACATTTCGAAGAACAATCATTCATTGGATTTAAATTATTTCGGTTTATATAAAAAAATTATGAAATACTTGTGAAACACTTTGTAAGAAATATTTCGTGTTGCAGTCAAAAATTGTTTCGCAATAATCTATTCCTCTTTATTTCATTGTCAATAATTAGATTTTTAGTGTATTTATTCTTACAATGTAATATTTTAGGCTACTATCAGTAATCGCTGCACAATTGCTGCACAATGCACATAAGTATTCTGTATTAATAATCAATTTTTCTCTGTTCTACAACAGTAAGTATAAATTATAATTAAAATATCGTCTGTGTAATAACGTCTGTGTAGACTGATGCAAACAGATGCTCCGATGTTTTGTAAAATCTCGTAAGAAGTTCATATCGTGGAAATTAAGAAATGTGCGCAATTTACCGTTTAATCAATTGCAAATTAATATTCGCAGCCATAAATAAAATTTCTGCGAAAAAAATTGCGACTAAATTTGTCGCTATAGCATGCGTAATTATAGGTAATTCGTTGCAAAATGAACGTTTGTTATCGCTTTTGACGTGTTTTTTTTTTACATCAGGAAATCATGCGAGCGGTACTAGCGATCGCATTAGTCTTGGTGGCGGGATTCTTCGTAGTAGCGACAGCGACTACCAAAGGTCGCAATTATCCCCGTTTCTTTAAGCATCGGACAAAGTTGAGGGAAATCCGCGGCTTCAAACCAGAATACATTTCCACGGCGATTGGATTCGGGAAAAGAGAGAGCCCCATGGCAACTTCGGATCTTGATGGATGCGAAAGAATTTTATCATCACTGCTGAGAAGCTTTCCGCATGGGTGAGTATTTTACAAGCTCTATAAAACAGTTTTTATTGCAATTGCAATTAATAGCGAAATAAAACATATTCCTTTATATTTGATTAAAATATAACTTATTAGACACAGAGTGATTTTCTAGGGCCAATTAATTTTAATCGACGGTTAAAACTTGTCGACAAAATTGCCACATGAATGAATATAATTTATAAAATATATATAAAATTTCGTCATCAAAGGAGAAAAGTTTAACATTCTTTTTCTCTTTCAATAACGATATTTCTTCATACAAGTCTGTTGTTCTGTTTCAAGTTTTAATCAAAGAATCAATTTTGGAAGAAAAAAACATTTAAGAAATTTTATAATTCAAGTGAATAACTGCTCGGTAAAAATTTATATATTTAAAATATGAAAAATGATGAAGTATGAGCAGCGTAAAATGTCCTGATTGCAGCATACCTGCGGATGTACTACTTCCAATAATGCAGACAAATCCTGCATTGGCCAGCAAACTTACGCACCTGTCGATGCAAAACGATCAAGGCGATGAGGAGTCGATGATGGATCATTCGCAGCCCGAAAGAACGCTCGCGCTGTTTTAGTCCTTTGTCGACAATGTATACGAGTTTTAAATGTCCATCTTAATTTGGATAAAACATCCTATATTTCCAAACATCCGTTTATTTCTCGAACTTTCACATACTTATGAAATATTATATAGATGTTACTTCTCTCATCTTTCCACGACAAAGTACGACGTCAAGGAATGACGGCCAGGAGAAAATTTACGTTTTTTCACCCTACAACATACGATCGATGTACAATTAACTTTGTCGTAGAACGATATCTAGTATGTGTATACATCAAGAAATGTATTAAAATTGATTACTTTTGTTTGATTATTAACATATATATGTAAAACTAAAGAAATATATAAAGATGAAAGTAGGATGGAAAATAAACGTGCATTATTCTGTAGAATTGCTCTCTTTAAACTTCTAAACTTGGATACGATCGATATAAGATACGTCAATTTTTACCTGTGTTACAGTTAATATATTAGTCACAAACTTATTTCATTTAAAAAAAAAAAAATAATATTTAAAATTTTAGGTTATTTTTTAAATATAATTTCATATAAATAACGAATATATCGGAAAATCAAATCGTTCTAATAACTGTCATTTAACTTCAAATGAGATACCTACTTCCCATCACTTTTTAAATAAATTTTTAACATTTTGTTAAATTATTTATTATTGTCCGACAAAATTTTTCAATGCGTTGATTGTCATTACAATTGTTAATTTTCTGACATGAAAAATACAGATAACACAGTCATGCAAGTTTTCTGGATACGCTTTCAGGCTCCTGTACACAGGACATGCGTTACGCGTGGTAAGGAGTGACGCAGCCAATGAAATAGGATCTCAATCTCAATGGAAGATGCTTTTCTATGTGCAGGAGCCCCAGGCGCGTTCTCGACTCAAAAGTACCTAATTTCAGATCTAAACATACACGACGCCGATCGCGCCGGAAGGTTATAAACATTTGTAAAGTTGACAATAGGTTAAACAGTGATTAAATCGATTCACCACTGGAGCAATTTGTGAAAATTGAAGCTAAAATTGCTGAGAAAAATGGATGTACATTAAATATATTTATGCCATTTATCTTTGGCGAAGCTGGTCGAAAATCATAGGTTATGTTGATACTCCCTCTCTATGTATTTTAAATATTTAAATTTTGTATTGTGATTTGAAATCTTAACTATGGTGTCAACACGAGGACCGAAATTTAAGTTTTGTGACGGAGAAAAAGTGTTGTGTTATGAACCAGATCCGACAAAAGCAAAAGTGTTGTACGACTCAAAGGTAATATACATATTTTCTTCGTATATATTATATTGTCTTTTTTTATAATATTTATAAAATGCAAATTGAAAATTCAAAAATGAATAAAAATATAAATGAGTTGGAGAAAGATGAAGTGAACGTGACATAAGAATATGCAAAATTGCAGTATACAAAATGTAGAAATAAGTGTATTTTTTAAATTGTATAAATACATATAAATGTACTTTGCATTATGTAGAATTATGAATTTAAATTGTAAAATAGATAAATGTAAAATTGTTTACAGGTACTTGATGTCATTGTGAATAAAGATCAAAGAGGTAGAAAAGCTGTAGAATATCTTATACATTTTCAAGTGAGTTACAAGGATTTAATTAAAATTATTTCACAGTATGAAATGAATTATGAATTAAAATAACATAAGGATATATAAATATAATTTATTAATATGTAAGGGTTGGAATTCGTCTTGGGATCGTTGTGTGACGGAAGAATATGTGCTTAAGGATACTGAAGAAAATCGTCAACTTCAAAGAGATTTAGCACAAAAGGCGCAGCTTCAACTGTACGTATTCCCAAAGCTAGTCTGATTTGTACAACTAATGTAATTCATTATGAATTTATATTATATATTCAAATAAATTAGGGGTGCTTATTTATATCGTCGTGAACGCAAAAAGAGGAGCCATAAAATGTCAGAGCGTTTGACTGAAACCGAACATCAAGAACGTCGTCGTAGAGCAAGAAGTGGTGGTAGTCGAGCTACGTCAGCCACAACTGGGTCTTCAGAAGATGGCAGTTCGGGTCAACATGCTGATTATGACACAGAGGTAATTGTCAAAATAATAATAAATAATAAACCAAAGTTTAGAGAAATTGTATGTTTAATATAATTGTATGTGTAACATAATTTAATGTAGGAGGTAAACACAGAAGAAGATACAGAAAGTAGCTCTGATTACATGGGTGAAACGAGTGATGATGAAGATAGTGGTGGTGGAAGTCAATCTGGAGCTAGTAAACCAGGAGTTGACATCGATATAGGTAGTACATTAAAACGGATTTTAGAGCAAGATCATGACTTAATATCAAATAAAAACAAGGTATGTTAATATATGGATTATATAATATGTTAGATATTGTATTTTTACTGGAGCATATATTTTGAGCGACTAAAAATGATCACAGTTGTTCAGATTTTATTTAATTTTGACATAAAAATTAAAAAAAAATTATGAATAAAATTTTGACAACTTATAAATGACTAAAATTTTTCCGCAAAAGCAAAGCACAAATATAACTGATATTTATTTTAGCTTGTGGTTCTTCCCGCACAACCTACTGTGATAAATATTTTGGAAACCTGGGTGCAACATTTTACTACAACACAATTAACAAATATTCCAGAAAAACCTCAACGAAATAAAGCAACTAATACATTAGAAAAAACAGTGAACGAAGTAAATATATGCAGAGAAGTCGCGGATGGTTTACGCATATATTTTGATTTTACGTTACCTCACCTCCTTCTATATAGGCAAGAAAGAGAGCAGTATGCCTCCCTGAAGTCTTCTTTATTAAGCAACGAACAAGCAATTATCCCGAAAGAAAGAACAACTGAGTAAGTTCAGTTTTAAATTGTCATTAAGAATTCGATTCAAATTCATTGTTTTGTTTTATAAAAATATCTTCTCTTATAGAAATCCAGAAATGTCTATAAAAGAAGAATTTGACGATTCAGAATATGCTCATTTACCACCTTTTCAAGAGCATGATTCTGAGATGGACAATACAAATAAGCCATCAAACAATTCTAAGCGAAGATTGCGATCGTATCGTGTAAGTTCAGTCGATGAAAGTCGACAATTAAGATCTTATGACGAAGGAAAGCAAGATGGTGGCAATTTATCGAGGTAATGATCAATTTATTTTAATATCTTCCGCTTTCATAAATTATAAATTTATCTTTAACAATTGTTTTTTCCTTTCGCAAATATCTCTTATCAGAACTGTGTATTGGGATAAGCATAATATAATGTATTTTTTTTGTTTTTCCATCCTTTTTTGAGATTTTTTTTATAATGTGTTTTTGATTGTTTTGTTTTAGTAGCATAGCAAGTACAAGTTCCCGTTGTTCTAGCCCACGAGGTGTAACATTAAGAATGCCGCCTGTTGTTACATCCGCTCAAGTAAATGCTTTACTTCAGCAATCTAATAAATGGAGATTAATGCCTCAAATATTGGGACAAAGCGAAAATCAACCAGGTCCCTCTGCTTATTACGGTGCCATTCATTTAACCAGGTTATTTGGTGAGAATTAGCTTCCATTTTACAAGGATGTATATATTGCACATAATTTTTATATAGTAAAAATGGTTTTATGTTTCTTAATTTCAGTTAAGTTACCTGAGTTATTACAATCCACAGATATATTGAACAAAAAGTTGAAAGTACTTTTAAAATATTTAGACATGTTTCTAAGGTACGTAGAAAAATTAATTAAGTATAGTAAGACGTGTATGCATATATATCAACTATTTCTCTATATAAATAAATAACAATACATTTTACAAGCAAGAATATAGCAAAGAATATTAATAATATAATATTTATAGCTATCTGGAGATGCATAGAGAATGGTTTGGAGAACAATTTTATATGCAAGTGGAAAGTCAAACAATATTACCAAATGAGTAGTTTAACAAAATATACATATTGCTTCCTCTGATCTGTGTACAACGTTGCATACATTTATGCATATCTATTTTTATGTGATTTTAAGAATGTATTACTCAGAATAATAAAAAAGCTTTTTATATTAATTTATATTTTTTAAATATATATTTTTATATAGATTTTTATGTTAATTATTTCATTTGTGAAATGGATTATATTATATATAAAATTAAAATTGTTAAAATAGTTGTGTGCGATTCTAATTAAAATTATTTATGCAATTCAGTGGAATGTATCTTATTGTATTATTTTTTACAATGTTAATATAATAATTAAGCAAGAATTATTAAAATATTAGGCGCGTTCAGTACAACAAACCGCTTAGTAATAATCGAACGTGATTGGCTCTTACTTTTAGAACCAACAAATCAACGTCAAGTGTTGACTAGACAATTCAGCAGTTCTGTTGAACGCGGCCATTGTTAATCATTATAAACGATTTAACAATTTACACTGAAAAGAGGTTATGTGAGACGTGCTTAGTCAAGTATGTTCGAAATTGGTAAGATTACTCACATACCTCACATACAAAACCAGTGATGCGATATTTCCTACGAGGCTCGGGAGCCGTGGAGCCCTACCTGTAGGAAATATCACATCACTAAACAAAACACTATTTTCGAAGGAATTATAATTCGCGTTTAAATTTCTAAGATGGCGTTAATTCGTGTTTTATAGCAATTTGCTGAGAACGTAAAAATTTGTTAAAGTTAACCGAAGTTAACTAGAAACTTAAGTAAGTACGAATGCATTGGTGGTGATCAGTGCGTTTGTAAAGTCAAATGGTGAAATTTTTATACAATATTCAAGAAGTATTTCTTCATTTGCATAATTGTATGCTAATTGCTTTGTCACTGTGTTCGTAAAAAGACGAAAAAAAATTGCCATATCAACACGTGTCCTTGTGAATGCATCGGACACCATTAACACATTTAATTATACACGGTATAAGTTTTTCTTGCTTGTGCACAGTGACGTACGAAGATGAGCTTGCAGGACGTTGCATATACGGTAGTTACCGCGCCATTTAATGTAATTCATAGAACGACTGCAGGGGCTGCATCCTATACTTGGAAGGCAGCTACATCGGTAAGCTGATATAGTGTTTTCCATTATCCTGAAACAATAGAGAGAAATACACTAATCTCCCTACATTGTAATCACTTGCTTGATCTTGCTCATAATATTAAGTAATTTGATTTTTTTCAATCACTTTTTATGCACTTTTAGTGAAAGGTATTTTATGCACTTAAAATAAAGTATATAAAGGGGGAGAAAAGCAAAAAAAAGCAAAAAAAAAGCAAAAAAAGCAAAAAAATTCAGGCAGTGTAATTATAGAAAAGGGATCTATCTGTCAGTCAACATCAGTGCTACAAACATTCAGGATGCGCTTTTAATACTGCAATAAAAATTATAAAATTACAATAAAATTTGAATATACTGATGTATTGTAATTTCTTGCGAGTGTAATTAGTTTAAGGTTAATTGAACTGACAACTTGGTTAATTCGATGCACTTTTGCACTCTTCCATTATAAGCGTTAACCTTGTGTTCAATAATTTGTTTGTTTTTGTGTTATACAATGTCTATTGCTTTTCATTAATGAGCATTTGTGTAATGTTTAATGCTTTGCCTGTTTAATATAAGTGTTAATTGCAATTAATATTTATTATTGGAAATTCCAAAATTGATAAGCAAGCTTTATGCAAGAAAAAATTGTTAATTGAAAACATAAGGTATTATTTACACAAAATATAATTTGTGAAAGCTAGTGATTTGACAGTTGTGTACAATCTTTTACAGGCAACAAGTTACCTGGGTTTACAACCTAAAACCGAAGTTAAAATGGTACCTGTATCTGTACCTTTATGGAAGTTAGCTGCTTCCACTGGACCATACATAAAGCTTGCAGCTCTCAGCGGTGCATCAGCAGTTATCTTGGGCGCTATTGGATCTCACAGTAAGTGAATCACTCCGCAATTACATTGCATTATTTCGAATCTCACTGTATGGCTGCAACATTTAAATCCATTTTTGTTTCGCAGGACATTACAGCCAGGATGATGTAGGAGTGGAGCAGAGGCGTATCTTTGAAACTGCAAATAGATATCACTTCATACACACTTTGGCCTTGTTGGGATTACCGATGTGCAGATATCCAAGCGTGGTACATTAATTGTCGCTGTGTTTATCTGCAATCATATAATCAACATTGCACTAACGATTTTGGGTGTTTGTATTGCAGGCGGCGGCTCTCATGTTGTCTGGCATTGTCCTGTTTTGTGGCAGTTGTTATTATACCGCATTCACTGGTGATTCAAGATTTGGTAGACAGACTCCAATTGGTGGATTTTGTTTTATTCTGGCATGGTGCAGCATGCTTTTATAAATATTCCTTAAAAATGAGCATTTTATACGGAGAAATAAATAAGAGATAAGGTGGTTTTATTTTTAAATAAAATGTAAAAGTAAATAAAAGATATAATTTTTCACTTATTTCAATTAACTTTAAATATTTCTTAAAAATAATAGCGTCTCTTGTGTAATTCTCGATGTATATTTGATCTATATCTTAGAAAACATTTGTTTGAACACAAATGTCTGTTATTCAAATTCGTGTTATTTATGTCTATTGAAAGCTACAAAAAAAAAATAAACGGTTCTGAATAAAATTAATAAAATTTGTTTATACCATTGAATTGATATAAATATCACTTTTTAAAATAATATTAATGATATTTTGGATCGTGATATTTTAAAATATTACACACTTTGTAATGATGCATATGCAAGTTTCCTATTGATGAATCTTTATTTTCTTGCACAATATATTATCATTCGTGATTCGTTGTCACATAAAATGAAAAATTATAAAAAATTGTTATGCAAATACATCCGCATGTTTGCAGCAATGTGACCTGGCAATATACATCGAGATACCAACGAGATAGTAAGTATATTGAAAAAAAGGGGGGGGAAACAAAACGGATTTTGCGTTTCGATAATGAGGCAAATTACGATCTCCGTCTTTCATTAATCGAACATACGAAATCGGCTTCCAAACCGTTTTGGTCGTCTCGGAGGATGTAACAAAATCGAAAAAATGCCCGTTCATGTGCACGGAGTCATATATTATACACGAAATTTGACAATATAAATTTGAAACAAATGGTTTCGACATTATAGACTGCCTGACACACGACACATACACATATACGTACATTCTTTCTTTCTCTCCTTCTCTCTCTCTCTCTCTCTTACACACACACATTTTTATATAGACTCCGCGTTTCTATAATGACATAAGAAAGTAATGTACCTTGTATGAACCATTTGATACACCAGCTTCACTTACTTTATATCCATTCTATTTCGTATCATACAATTGTCTTACATTTCTTTTTTTTTCTTTTTTTTTCCCGTAAATACGATGGATTTGCCTGTAAATGGATATCGGAATTTCCCTTCAATTCACACGTCATGACGACGAAACTCTGGCGATTCTGGTTGCGCTCTTACACAGCTAAACAAACTAATAATTGAACTAATTTTATCTAGAATAACAATATCAAATAATATTAATGAATGCTACACATCGGTTAAACTTAAACGTAGGAGTGTTGCGCAAAAACATTTCGCGCGTTGTATTCACGGTCGTTGGAACTTAAGCGGCGTACACGTAGAGATCGATTACAAAATAGAGGATAGCAGCGAGAGACAGCATTGTTTTTTTTCTTCTTTCTGGAATTAAAATCGTTTCCGGTAGTAAGACACGCACCCGCGCGCTTTTCGTCGTGAGCACGCGAGTTTGTTTGCTGATTTTAGCTCTTGGGTTTTTTTTTATTCTTCCGCGATTATGTAACGCAGCGGATTGGCGACATATGGCGATGCTTTTTAAATGCATCACTGATATAAAATTTACTTAGTCTATAGTAAACGTTTCTCCTTTCTCTGAGGTTATATTTAGTTAGTATAGTGTTTCATAGCAATATCATTTCTCGTTACTATCATATAAAGTATTTATATCGACTTGCGTATATTAAACTATATGTACAGTTTTTTTCTCTTTTTTTTTATTGTAACACACTGAAGATAAGTTTTTCCTTTTTTTTTTTTTTTCCTTAGAACGAGGTTGCGCTCGCAAGCCACTCGATTCGCAGTATCGCAAATAAGTAAATTCACGCGGTTCGGTTAATTATGCAGCTTTGCACTTTTCTTCCTGGTCAAAGTATATATATATCACAATTCAACCGATATAAGATAGAAACGGAAAAGAAAATTATTTTCGTGAATTTTGAAAATACTTCTGATGTGATGAAAAAAAGAAAAAAAAAGAGCATCTCTAAAAGATTTATATAAAAAGTAACTGTTATCGCTGGGATTTGATTGCCGAGAAACGCATGTAAGACTTTCACGTATATAAACTTTAAATAAAATTATAATTCGAATAATTCTCGATTCAGATAATGTGAAGAAGAGTGAAGGAGAAAATGACGCGTCGATTTTCCATTCGTTTCTAGGAGAGGTGGAACGAGTGTTGACCTTCTTGCGCAGCTATCCGTAACTTTTCCCGCATTATTTCCAAAGTGGTATAATCAGGCAGTTTTAGATAGTTAACGCAAGTCATTACGGATGGTAAAAAATCGTCTGTCTTCATAGACGGATCAAAGGTTTTGCGTACTATCGTTAACGGGGGTGTTAAGCTTTTGAAACCTGGAAAAGAAAGCAAGAGCCGTGAATATCATCCACCTTATTGCACAATAAAGTGATAGGATAAATGAAAATTCAGAATACTAACCTCCAACGGGTAAGCGCGGTGAACCGGTGACGAACTGAATGAATTGTCGCTGCTCCTCGCTGTTGTACTTGGACATGACTTCGAAGAGGAAACGAATGGCGCGGGAGTCGGGCGTGTAGCCGTGGTCGGTCCTGCAGCACTCGGCGAGAGTTTTCACGTCCCATTGTCCGCCGGTTTGCGCGTGTCCGCAGAACACCGCCTCGAGCTCCTCCGGGAAAAACAGTCTCAGCTGCGACGGAGGGAATACAGATTCGAATCCTTCTCGAAAAGCCTCCATTTGTCTGAATACTCCTTCGTACAAGAACCAGTGCACCACCAACTGAAATGCAGAAGTAACGCGTGACCGCTTCGATCTTTCGCGCGATATCGGTAATTAAGAATCATATCGATATTGCCACTTGTACCTTTATGTATTGATCTAGATTGTGAATAGTGACGGGTATCTCACTGCCACCTTTTCTCAACTCGATGTTCTCGTAACCCGGCAACTCGAACACGAGACCCAAATCGGAGATCGGGCACGTGTCCAAGTCAAGTACTTCGATTAACTGCGCTTTTTCAAGCGGTCGTAAAGTCTGATCCTTCTCCATGACTTCCTTCCTCCTCACGACCTCCTGAAGCTTGCCGAGAGTGCGATGCACGTCGGGACACACGTGTGCCAAGTCCGCCAGCGTGAGCGTGTGCTCCTCTCCCAGCAACCAGCGGTAGAAAGTTAAACTAAACGGCAAGTCCAACTGGGAAAGAGAAGATTCAACTTATCGAAACATGTACGATCGGGCGGAAGGTTGACTGAAAGAAAGTTTGCGAGCGTCGGCTTTTACCATTCTGGAATCGTATATCGCCTTTGCCATAAATTTCCCCAGAAATTTGAATTTAGTTTTCAATTTGGCTAGATGGGATACTTTAGTGTTCCACGGAATCGGCGATGGGAAGAGTCCGTGCGCGGGATTGATGTATCCGTTTTCCGCAGGATTGGAACTGCCGTGCCACAGATCTAGATCAGCTCGTTGCAGTTCCTTTGAGACTAGAGCGTAAAATTCTAATGTTGGACCGAGACCGGTACCGACCTGCAACACACCGTGCAATTAGAGATTCGAAGTCTGTTTGAGATATTAAATCCGAAGAGAACATGTGCGTGAAAGACCGACCTCGTTGACATATTGCACTTCAAGTAAAGCCTTACTGGAGGCCAAGTCTTGAATCACTTGCTCGGCTTGCTTAAGAATATCCGTTCGCGAGATGGTTCTCTTTCTTCGTTCCAAACGAGGCGTAACGCGCTCCTGGCTATCCGAGCCCGAGAGTTCCGGCGCGGAATCCAAGAGGCGTTGCAAAGCTCTATCTCGGTCGAATGATGTTGCGTACAACAAGAGCTGCCTCGTCTCGAACGGAAAGAGGAAAGGACTGAAAAATTTAATTGTTCGATTATCGTAAAGAAATTTTCGATTGCAAAAGTAAAGTAAATCAAAATCTATGGCAATATTAACCAGACGGTCGCGATCTGCTGTAACCAGGAGGGCAAATTTCCAGTCATGATCACCAATGGATCCTGCAACTGCCTACTGGCCTTCGCGGCGATCTTGTTGTTGATGAAGTCTTGAGATGAGAGTAAGTTCATGCTCTTCAGGTGAGGAAACAGTATGCCCCAGTGACGATTGAGAGCGTGCAAAAGTCGAAGTAGACACAATCCGTCGAGAGATGCGTCCGTGATGGTCACTGACGGCGGTAACGTGGGAGATAGATACGGCGCGAGGGGACATTGCTGAGATGGAACCGTGCCTTCCAGCCAGAGACTGTCCTCTTTCCTCTTCGAACTAATCTTTGTACTTTTTCCCTTGCCCTTCCTGCTATTACCCTGCGAGCTCGACCCCGATTTTGGACAAGTTACAGCGTCCTCTTCTGGCACAGGTCTGGCGAAAGGAATTAAAATTTTCATAAAAAGAACCATATTTTTGCTAACTTCAAGAAATTGATTATAACTTTGCGAATCCGAGGATACCTGTAGTATATTGTGTGAGTTTGCACCCATACTGCGTCGTGTCCTAACGGCGGTTCACTGTCAGCTTCTGCCTCGGAGTGATCCACTCCGGAACACCCGAACTGCCTAACAGCCTGATAAACCGTCATATTGAAAGGTAAAACTATGTCGCCAATTAAGAATTGAAGTTTATGCTTGGCCGATCCCTGACTTATCACGACTGCCGCCTGGAAAGAGGAGGATAAGAAATAATCACGAGCATTCGCCAAGTGCCGATTCTATCGGGTTTTCTTTAACCTAATTAGCGAATGTGAATGCAAAAAATATATACCAAAGTATCATCAATATCATCTTCGCTGTTATCGTCGTCGCTAACCATCGAGTCTGCGTCTCGTATTCTACCGTATCCACGTACCATCAAATAACGTTCGATTGCCTGCACTAACGCAAGTGGATCTATTTTCACGGTGCCGCCCTTCCACTGCTTCAAGTTATTACAATCCGGGTGCCGTTGAAGATTACACTATAATTATAAGAATTAGCAAGAATGCACTATGCATAATTCGACGAAACGCGGCGTTTACTACAAATTAGCAAGACTTTACCTTAAGTTGATGCGTATTGAAGAACTTGAGGGCGCTGGTGCCACCGCGACCAGCGCCAGAACCCGCGGGTAAGTCGTGAACCTTCACCGGGAATTGTTCCAACTGTGCAACGCAGCTGTTTAATTTCGCCACTAAAGCGCCAAAAGCTCCAGGATTCAGATCCATAATATCGTTGTTCTGTTGCATCTGCGTAGAAAATGTTGCAAAGCGTGTACATTTTAGGAATAGACGCAAACAATGTGCGACAATGTCGACTTACAGTAGACTCCGCGAACAATTTCCAAAACATACGAAGACGGTCGTAACGATTGCCCGGTGCGTCCGTGGTAGTGAGGTAGTTCAACAGAGCTTTGATAAGACCGCTGTAATTCATCTCGAAGGGTGATATATCGCTCTCGAGAACTATGTCCCGTAATTCCGTTAGCGCTGACAACATTTCGTCCAATTCCTGCAAATGTAAATTGGCGGAAATTGGTGGATTTTAAATAACAGGATAAACGTGGGACAACATTTAAAAAAATATTATTTGGTTATTTTTCAATGACGCACGCTGCGTGAAAAAATCACAATGGAACTTGATCGCAACGTAGACGAACAAGTATTCGATTCACGTGTTCATCGGAACCACGTCTTGTCCGATAAAAAGAAGCAGAAATTTATTTGAAAAATCTGAAATTACTTATTACACAGCCCTTATATTTCTTAATTTGTATAATACGCGCGTATTCGTATAATGCACTTACATTTGATTGCAATCGCTGTATTGCAGCAGTCAATCTAGCAAGAACCGTCAGGGCGGGATGTGAACAAGGAGCGTCGTCTTGATATCTGGCTAGAAATTGAGCCGCTTGCTCGCGCACCCACGCCTTCGCCTTATCCCGATTGCCGCCGGTTAAGCTTGGATTGCTCGGCGGCTTCGACAAGTTCGTGGACGAACTCGAGTCCCTCTTATCGCTGTTGGTATTGGACGAAGACGATTTCCGTCCCCACTTGGCCCGGGTTGAGATTTCCCAAAAATCGATTATTCTTCGGAGTGAAACCGGTGAACAGAGATTCCGGCTGTTGCGCTTGCTGCGGAGTGGTGGCGCCTCCCAGTCTTGAGAAACGACTCTTTTTGTTCTGCCGTTTCCTCTTCAGCACGTCACCAATTCTTCTGAGCAAAAAAAAAAGAAAGTGTACCTTGAATGTCATAATAATCACCCGAGAAAGATTGATCGAGTAATGTCCGGTTCCACCAACGTAGATTAACTTTAATCTCGGTTCAACTTATTCTTCATCTTTTTCTAAATCTTAGAACTAGAAAAAGATGAAGAGTAAGTTGAACCGAGATTAAAATTAATCTACATTGGTGGAAATGGGCATAAGAGTTCATCTGATACTAACAGGTGAGCACTTTGTGGTGTACTTGATTCTTCTATACTACTGTTCAATTCAGTTCTATGTGGCTCCAGCGAAGCACCGATATTTGGTTTATACTGGCATGATGACGCGATAGTGCCAAACAATATGTTGCCGTTCGAGGATGGAGAGACAACCGGAGACGTGGCACTGCTAGAAGACAACATTGCGGTGGAAGAAAGTGGTATATTAGACGGACCTGGCTGCGGGCTTGGTAATGATGTACCTAGAAAGTACGATACACATTTATTTCGTATGCGACGGCGAGCGAATCGTGTAAAATGCACTATGGACTGAGTCGATAGTAGAAGCGAGGACGACAATAAGTTGGCCGAATTTACCAGAAGGGCACTTGGGTGGTGAAACACCGAGAGGTACTTCGGGATCTGCTAATTGACGAACTTGATGCAGTACGCCTTCGCGATGAAAATGAACCCCAAACACTTGCGGCAGTCTCTTCATCAAGATACTCGCCATTTGAAGAGCCCCAATAACTATGCGTAAATCTTGCGACGCTAGCATACCAGCTATATGCGACGAAACCACTTGATTCTTTAGAACATCCTGCGCGCGAGAGAGCATTCGTGAAACATAGATATACATCGCAGGTGTTGTCGGACAGTTTAACGTGTCTTATGTTGTACCTTAAGTAAATCAGTTGAAGCATAATACACCATACGAAGGAGGGCTCGCAGACATTTGCACTTCACAGCGGGTCCAGCCGAGCTGCTGTAAACTTCATACAGCACAGAGAATAAAGTTCGAATAAAAGACACTAGCCATTCGTTTGTTTCGATTACGGGAGGCACGACATCCATACTGCAATCACAATAACAACCTCATTGATAACGAAGTATGTTTGTGACTTTGGAGTCGCAAAGTGGAATGCATACCTAGATGAGCAAGTAGGACTCTTTCCCTCAGTGGGATTGGCGTTCACTCTGCGAAATATACTTCTTGCCATTCCTCCATCCTCGTTAATTTGTTTCATCACAGTCAGATCTATAGTGTAAGTTCGTCCTAAAGAGGAAAGGCATATCTCGTCTTCGCCGTTTTGGAACGCCATCTAAGAAAAAAAACAAGCGCGATTAAATGGATTGATACTTATTGACTGATTAACGTCGCAACAGAGAATTACCTCGATAATTCTAGAATCTATAGTACTGAACGGATGGGAGCATTGTCTCTCGTCGCGCCATTCCCACTGAACAGTCTCCTGTTGGTTGCTGGTTCTTTCGAGCAAACTATTTACACTGAATATTCCATCTGTCGGCAATGGGGGCATAAGTTCCTCGATTAAACATGTAATTTCGAACCACTCCTGCGGTGTGTGTGGTACCAATTCCACATCCTCCGTTTTGACTTCCAGAGATCCAGTTAAGAGATAACTTAATGTGAAAGCTATGTTTTGTTGCAGCAATAACTGTGCCAGATCGGGACAGCGATTCGATATCACAGAGAGCATTCGTAATACAGTTATGAAATTGTTAGTGTTGTTAACCGGCGGAGTGATCATAAGCTGCAAGGAAAAAAAAAAGAAAGATGAAACAATGCGGAAACAACGCGGAGAGAATTATATCCACTGTAAACAATCGAACTGATAATCGCGCACGTACCAGCTGTTGCAAGTTCTGTAAGAGTTCGGCATTGACAATTTTATGCAACATCACAGGATCGTGTTGGAAACTCTCGACCAATCGGCTGAATGCTTGACACACGCACTCAACGCTCTTCTTATCTTGATTCGTCAATCTGCTCGTCAATAACGATAAACTATCAGCTACCAAATGAAAATCATCGGGATGAAGATTCTGACAGCAATTCGCGGTAATTGTTAACGCCGCACGTTGCGCGGTGATGTTGAAAAAGTCGACAAATTTCAAACATGCCGACACGCCACCCTGAAAAGAACAATTGCCACAATTAAAATTTATATTGGCCATTACAGTTATCGTATATAATTCTAAATCTGACGAAACACGCGTGATTCCATTGTCAAAAAATGCAATTATATATTACGCATAAATTAAGATAGAACAACTTGTATACGTACTGCGTGCAAAATTGTTTTGCTATGCCTGCGCGACAACATGGCTAACGCTGTCAGACATTGCTCGGCAACATCCATGCATTCGATCGATTCGAGTTTCTGCAAGAATACCGGCACTGCGTCCACGACAACGGTAGACGACCGTGGCAATGCCTCCATCATATACGTAAGAGCACGACATGCGTGTGTCATTATCGCAAAATTGTCAACGCCCAGTAGATTAATTAAAGCTGCGACCACTTGTTTAACAGGGAAACCTGTTAAAGTATCTTCATTGCCCATCACAAGAATCTCTCCCATATTCATGACAGCTTGCAATTGCTCTCCTTCATCCTCCACAGCTTGTAAGCCAGCTAACAATTGTTGCGCCTTAGCAGCTGAAAATTGTTAATAAGCACATAAATAAATAATGTTTTTTTTCAATAAGCATGGATAATGATGTATCATAAAACTAGAAATTATTTCTAAAAAAGTAAAGAGCTTAAGAGCCAACAGCTCGATATTGGTGAAAAAAATGTATTAACAGAAGAATATTTTTTAATTCTACAGAGCTTATATATATTTCACTTATGAGTTTTCACACAGTCAATCTTTAACATTGAAAATGGTCTGATGACAAAGTGAAACGTTTAAGGATGTTTTGTACGTACAATCGTAGCAAAAAGTTGCTGAAATTTGATTTTGATGAATATATGCTCTTCTCATATAGTTTGAGTAATAAAGATTGCACAGAATCTTATCATTTATTCATAAGTAGAGTGCAGAAATGTACTTTTAAATTTCTGTTGTTTTTTCTGAGAATTTTCGAATTTTCTGAATTATGCTTGACGTGCGGATAAAGGTTAGTTGTGTTTATCCACAATGCCAAAAGTAGGCCCTTATCGATGAAAAGGAAAAATAGTGACCAAAAAAGTGTACGAAAAGAAACTTCTTCAACAAAAAAAATTTTTTTCTATCCATTTTAGCCACTTAAATCAACACGGTTACGCGTTTTCCATAAAGTCACGGGTAAATTCGTTGCAAATTAAAATCCTTATAACTTTTGATTGCTTCAGTAAATCGACTCCGGATTTTGTCACAAATCTCCGAACATATGTAAGAACAATCTGTAAAATTTTTGTTAAATTCCTAATATTTTAAAAATAGGTACTAAACATCCTTAACTAATTATTGTTAATACACTTTACGTACGCCACAAATATCTAGCTGTTGGTTCTTTAATCCCTTTATTTTTTTTCCAAATGATTGCTAAAATTGTCAGAGCTTGATCTCAAAAATTATTCGCGACTTGTCGCACGTAATATAAATTTCTATGATGAAATATTTAATCGAGTCTTAAATTATGATACAACGACAAAGAGATATCAATTGTTTCTATACCAGAACTTGTACCCATGCCTCTGTTAAGCAAGTGCTGCATTCGCGGGCCCAGCGCACCAAACACATGAGGTGGCAAACCTCTAGCTTCGAGCAGAGCTTGCAGTCGTCCAACCTCTCCATCGTCGCTTTCACTGTCACCAGTTGTTCCTGACATTCCGGACGGCCCCCCACCGGCTTCGCGCATGTGGACAGAGAATCGACATTTTGAATTGCAAGTTTCAGGCACCGCATATCGACGCGCACATGGAGCTGATACATCAATAGCAATTAACCTGTGGCGGATGTAGCAGTTGATGCCGACTCCTCCTCACCTGTGGTTGAGATTAACTGACTGCTGGGAGCAGAGGATGAGACCGATGTAGCGCTGATGGAATCATTGCCTGACATCACACTGCTCAATCCGCCTGAGCTGCTCTCAACCACTGGCTTCCTCACGCGCGATGAGGAGCGATGTCTGCAACAATGTCGATCAAATATCATTTTTTTTTTCTTCCCTCCACCGGTGACAACTCGTCGATCTTTGTCGTCGAGCGACTGAGAGTAATAAATTACCTGGAACTCGAGCAGGAACCCGTGGTCGAGTCTTTCTTATGATGCTTTCCCGAAGTTTTGTTACTCGATGGCAGTTCCTTGGGTTGTTCGCCCGAAGCTTTCGCGCGAGAACGTAGCAGGTGCTTGTGTGTAGAATGAGGGTGTGCAAGGTTGGCAGAAGCGGCGGCAGACACAGGTGGATTGATAGTGGCCGTCGACGCGATACCACTCGTGCCTGCCCCGTCATGTGCCAACGCACCCCCACCACTCTCCACAGAGTTACTTGCTGTGTTACCCACTCTGATGCTGGACTTGACACCCAAGACTTGACTACTCGTACTGCTACTCGTTGTGCTACAGGTCGCACCGCCGTGAGATTTTGTATCTAAAATATCCAAATGTCGCCATATTCGTTGAGATACACGAGACAACGACCAGCTCATTGACTATCTAACTGCGCGCAACACGCAGACTTTCATAATTAATATAGATATTAAAGTCGTTGTAACAAGTACGTAACATCTGTTTTTTTTTTTATATTTATGACACTTTCGATATATACATGTGAAATATTTCTCGATAAAAAAAAGAAAAGAAAAAAAAAAATGCGAGTTCTATTGTGCACAGTTGCAAAAATCAAACATTTTCGCAAGTTTGGTGATTGTAAGTGATGTATGATTTCTATCATGATATTTCATGCAGTTTTATATACAATTTTGCCTGTCGATTGTAAAAATAAATATCTATTCAATCGTTCAGAACTAAACAATTTTACATTAAAATTTATAAAATTGTTTAATTTGCAAATGTTTTCTTAATTAGCTCCGAACATAAATCTAAAATGTTGCACACTTTTTCTGGGACGTAGAAATTAGAGATCGTACCAAGATAAACGCCACAACATTGTTTAAATGTTATAACACTGATAACTACAATAAATAAAACATAAAAATCTTGTAATATTTCTCATTTCAACGTGAGTTTATTTCTAGTAATTTTCAACTTCAAATATGACTCACATCGAATAGTGTTGTGAGATAACGAATTTTATTACCTGAATAAGAAAAGAATTTTTGTCCCTGCCGTAAAGTAGCAGAGAAAAGGTGAATGCCCAATGATTGACACTAATAATGGGCTATTGTAAAACTTCGAGTATAACTGATATTTTGTGGAACTATTTGAAAGATGCCGCTTTTTCCTTGTCTCCATATCTACAGTTTCAGGATGAAAGATATGGTGAAAGTAATAAAAAAAAGTATTTATTGAAACAAATATGAATAGAATTCTACCGCCGTTTGAACATAAATCGTATATTAAAACTTTTCAAAATGAGATATTAAGCTTGGATAATTATTCTATTGCTCGATATAAAACATAAATTTGTAAGTTTAAAATCACCAGAATTAAAGTCATTTAAAATACAAACACTTTATTCGAATAATTCCGTATAAATTTTAATTAAAAATTTAATTAATATAAATAAAAGCAAAAATTGTGAAAAAATGTGTCCAATTTATCAAAGAATCTTTAAATAGAATAAAGCGCGCTCTTGTTGATACCTTCTGTACATTGTAATATATATAATTCTTGTTAAATAAAATATAAGCATTATACACAAATTCCAGATTTCATAACAGTTAAATTTCTTAGTAAATACGAAAGTGAGAGAAGATTAATGATTACATATGATAAAAATATCCGATAACACGAGTATTACTACGCAGTCAACTTTCATCTAACAATAAGATAAAAGTTTCCCTTGAAATACCAGAATACATTCCAAATTTCAGTTAGTGTAATATTAAATTATAAAATTTTATAAAGCAAGTATTATAAAATATATTACTTGAAACAATATCAAAATCAACACAAGGGAAAAGAAGTTTTCCAAATTATGGATAGATATATTATTCATTACATTTGCATGTAAATTTATTACGCATATTAATATTAATTACTAGTAAAAGAGAAAGATCGCTTTAGACTCATGTTAGAGCATGTAAAATAATTACGTAGCGAAAGAATTGCATTCACAAGATTTTCGATATAAACTTTAACATATAATCTTGAGGGCTAAAAGTTTATGTGATAAAAAAATTTATAAAATAATAATTTCAATAAAAATATTCTACATCGTAAAATAATAAAACACTACTTGAAGATATTTGTATCATTTATAAGATATAATAGAATATACAATTTAATTTTGACAATAAAGAAACAAATAATAACTATTGTACATTTGTCGAAATATAACATAAATTTGGAATAGTTATTGAAATAAAAAGTAAAATGTACATAACTTTAAACCTACAAAAAAGAATTTCTTTAACTCTGAATTAAAAATACATATGTAAAAATGTAAATAAAAATATTTTTAACATTAGTGTAACTTTTATATATATATATATATATATATATATATATATAACTA